TTAGATAATTGATAATATTATAAGTGTATAAAATGGATAGTATTTTCCTGTAGTATGGGGTTTAAAATATATATGATTCATAATTTAGGATATTTACCTTTGTCTTGCATCTATTGCGAAACCATTTGTTATTAATAAATTGGAAATACTGCTTTCATCAAGAGTATACATAAGTACACTATATGTATCTCCGATCTTGTCGAAGGTCATAATTTTACAACGCATTGGTTCTCCAAGGTGTTTCTCTAAGAATTTAGTTACCTCTGGACCCCACTGAGCAGTACTGTTATTAATCGGCTTAATGTTTTTTAATGAGACTTTGATTGCCTGTTTTGAAAAAAACAATACTGGCATTTAGATGCAATAGTAGGTAAATAAACACGTTATAGTAGGTACTTGTAAGTGAAAGTTCATAATAAAAATAGGAAAGAGGAAAAAATAGAGGGAAAAGTTGAAATCTGAAGCATATGGTAATAATTAACAATATTTTTGGGAAAAGAGACATAACTCCTATGACTGGTTGAAAATGAAGGAAAAATGAAGGAAAAATGAAGAACAGTAGAATATAATAAAAAATATTAATTTTCAGTCTGGTACATAATAATTATCTAAGAACACCTTACCTGTGTTTTGCAGCTCATGAAATTCTTAGAAAGTGCTCTGACAGAATCATAATTTAGTGTCAGTGTATATCCTAAGTCAACATAAAAAACCCTTACTGTATTTTCTGTAACTTCGTTTATTATACCTCTGTGCCAGAGTCCATCAGCACCGCGTGCCACACACGGTAAATCTGTGGACAAATTAACGTAAATATTCTCAATTTTTTAATTTTATAGGATAAGATATGCGGAGCCGTTCGTCAGGTTGAATCAGATTCATAATTATAGACTTATTTTATAACCTTTGAATCGTAAAGTATTACCTTTATGAATCGCAGGAATGGATTCAGTGAGAGATATATTTTGTTCATAAGTTTCCGTCATTTCACGAACCATTTTAATAAAGTGTGATCTGCATGCGTGCACCTGTTTCATATAAATTATTATTTAGATACATCTATCAAATACTTTCATTGTTTTTTAAATCACTATAAATTTTTAAATATTCAGAAATTTCTGTTACTGAGTGTTATTTAAATCGTTTAGACAATAGTAGTCCATTTTATACGATTTATAGTTGCGTTAAAAAAACAATTTTTAACAAATATAACCACCTTACCTTTTTAACGTATATGCACTTAGGTGAGTCAATGTATAAAATATCAACGTTCGTATAGGTTTCCATCGACAATTCTTCCTTGACATATGTCTTGGTAGAATAAGGGTTCATCCTCTGCAAGTAAAAAATTTAGTAATGTATTGTACCGTGTAAAATCAAAACCACAATAATTATAAGCAATGTGCACTTTTACCAGAAGTTTATTTCGTGAAATACAAGTTGCGTACTTCATATACGTTAATGAGTCTTTTATGGGTATTAACCCTGCATCTTTGGAGGACACCGCACAGAGGTCAACGTAATATGTGTCTCCCGTTATTGTCATGATGCACATTGAAACCATCGAGTTCCTGTTAGAATAAACCATTTGTCTGACAGAAACTGATCATTTTAATATGGAAATTCTAAAAGCAACTTTTCGAGGAATTAATCCTTTGCACTCGGAAGATTTTTACCAAAAATACGTGAACATTTCCCGATAAGATAAAGACGATATTTTGTGAAACTAACTCGAAGAGAAATCACACTTGCATGGAGGAACAAAGTTATTTTATTTCAATATTTCTCAAATTGATGCGTTGTATAAGGTACAATATTAAATATCAAATTTTATAGTTTTACAGCGTGAAATCAGGTGGTGAGTGAGAGTCACTTCTCGACTGCAAAGGGTTAACAACTCAGTAAATACCTACAAATCTCTATATTACTTCTGGAATGAGGAAAGCGAAGAGTCATTGTAATATTAATAATTTAGTTCTTTACACAGTTTCAACAGAAGTAGTTAACAAGTTAAAAAGTAAATGAAAATTGTCATTCTCAGTTGTTTAATATTCCTCATCAGTCACAGATCACTACTTACGTGTATACGAGTTTCTTAAATGCTTCAATAGCATCGGGATGCCATTGACCACCGTTCGGAACAATCTCAAATAATGAGCACCTCAGTGCCATTACATTGAACATCGCAAACTGTGGTATAATGTTCCTCATTCTTGACAACGGCACGTTGTCTTCTTCCATTCCGTAATCAATAAAGTACACCGTATATTTCTCATCACCGCTGTGATCCGTCTTTTTATTAATAACGCGTCCACGGTACCAAGACCGTTCCTTAGCAGACTGCACAATGTACAGGGCATCTAAAAAAAACAATTGAAATAATTACCAAAATCATTTGACAATGAACAGACCGAACTTCTACTGTGTTTTTACACAAATACACATATATAACAGGAAAATACAACAAACGAGAGGTTTCCATACTTATCGTCACTGCCGTGGGTATAATCCCCGATGTATTGGCTAGCAAAGATAGCCCCTTTTTGAGTTCTGCTATTTTATTTTGATTTTGTACCAGCTGGACGTAGAAGCAAGATGGATTAACAACGTGCGTAACGCGGACCATCTCTGAAGACCCTAAGAATTAGAAAATTCCTGATCAGTTACAACTTATGTACGTAAACGTAAATTGATTCTTTACCTATTTTGTAATTACTATGCTGAATTATTCTAATGAAAATAACTACGTTTATACGTTTCCAATATACGCAGTCGTATAATGCGAGAAATACCTTCCGAAGGAAGAGGACTTGTCTTTTATGTGATTAATTTAAAAGATAAGACGGTCGAACTTCGTTTTTTTTTTTAAATGGAACAACGCAGTATAAGTTAAACCATTCCTTTGTGTGCTTTTTATTGTATTGTTATGGTGCATATAACTCGTTGATATCAGGAGCGTGTCTTTATCGGGCATTGAAGTCTCCGGAAATATTTTTTTTGCCACTTACATTATGCTCACATGATCGAACCGGTAAGGATCAATTGAACATGTCGTCATTACAACAGATCTTAGAGATTCTACGATGCGTAATGACTTATAAAAATCTCATCCAAAAGATTCTCAACGTTTTTGAAATACTGTTGGTGCAAAAGATATATTGACAGTATGAATATATAGTTTTCCCTACAGACCATTAAAATATCAGACATTTCGCTGGCGCAGCGTGGAAATTAACATCTTCAACGCGTATCCAATTTTGTTTAACACTAGAAATACCGTATTGGTCAAAATGACTGGTTTCAGTTTCTTTGTTTCGCGATTATTGATATCTTAAGAGCACTGAATATTCGAAATGATTTTGAAAATATATAGTTTCACTTGAATACTGTAATGAATGTTTGAAGACAACGGGAATAATCCATTGTTACAAGTTTTATAGGGATTAGATGTCGTATTAAATGCTCGGTAATTCTAGTGTTAATTATCCGTTTAGACGACGTATAGTACAATATTCGCCTAATCAGACCGATCGAAAGTACATTTTAAAACTTTTAATTAAACCGAACAATTTTTGCTATTTCAGATAGCTGAATATGCGAAGAACAATGTCCTACAATCTTTTATTATCCTTCGAGTACTCATTTAAAAACATTTAAATGACGAAAGACTGGGAATTTAATTGAGGAAGTTCTTTTTTTGAGAAAGTAATATTTTGTAACGTCTGCAAGAAAAGCTGTATCTTTGTTTAAAACGATTCAATATAATTCACTTAAGAAATGTGACCGTATCTGTTGATGTTATATGAATTGTTAAATATTATTTTTTAAATTTGATACTATTCGTTTGCAATGACCGACTAAATGAAGAATTTAATTCATTTTACATGTTTTACACGTATAACATCCTACAGTAAATCGCGTGGCAGTGCAATTATCGGTAAGCATTACGTCCAGTATTCGAGATGGTAATATCTATCATCGTCAGGTGGCTCCACCATACAGTTTTCTAACTCCAGGCAACTTTTTTTTGCTTACTGTTATTACAGAGACATTGAATGCATGTAAATATTACATTGCGTGATATGTATAATTAACTAAAAGTTACGAATATTTTAACATTTTTATTGAGCAAATTATGAAGCCAGGAAGTGATTATTTATTTCATTCTTCAAGTTGAATACGAACATTTGTTCCATGTTTTAATTAAAATCATTTTTATACTAATATTCTTTTGGCAATATTTCTTTGATACCTTTCTGGAGCATTCAATAAATATCGATGAGCATTTAATTATTGGAAAACATATTTTCCTTTTATTAATACATAACATCGTAATTGGTTGAAGCCACGAAATGTCTAATTAAGAATGATATTTCTAACAGCAGTCACTTTATATAGAAAATTCCAAGAGACCGCTTATAAAATAGAAATAAATGTTTCTTACGTACCGGCAGCAGGATAATCATCAGTCTGTCGTGATGGAAGGGTAACAACCGATGTCGATTTCATTCCCGCGAACGATCTGTCTTTGTGCTCTAGGCAAAGTAACGTTCAACGAAAATTAATATTTCATCTTTGCAAATTGACTAGCTAGTTTTCCGCGGTTATAAAACGCCGATACTGCGCCGGGTTAGTAATCGCTGGGAAGAAAATTAATTTTACTTGGAATGCTGAATTCCTCCGTGAGCGGTTCCATTTCGTAATCGTCCGGTAACAATTCCGTCCGTTGCAAACTGAAACTCGACGTTCTCGGTATTTGTATAGTGCAATGCTTCTGCAAGGCCTCGATGATGCTTTCGTCGATATCGAATCTGTAAACAATTTTCGTGTTCCATGGTGAAAATCTTCCGACAAATCGTTCGTCTCGAAAAACGTTTTTTTTTTATTCATTTCATGACAGATTTGTAAATGACTGATAATTAGTGGAATATTTTATATAGAAAATGTAACTAAAATGAGTATACTAAATGAACAAAATGACAATTGAAATAGATGTACACAATGTATTCTCAGGCGACGCGAAATTATTTTTCCTTAACCCCTTGCCTTACGATTTAATTTTGTAAGTGCATTTGTTAGAACTACTTATCGTTAATAATGCACTAGTAAAAGAAAGCATTCCATGCTCTTTCTGTGTTTAGATTTAGTATAAACCATACAAATTACTAACAAGAACAATGTTTCATTTGAACTTAACACAACTCAATGATATTTATGTTTGTTAAACCATATTAGAAATCTTCGCCTCGAGTTTGACACGATATTATAAGCCAAGGGATTAACACGTTGCATACAAAATGGAAAGAATATAATATTAAATCATTAGTTAGCATTATCTATAATATAGAAATGTTTTCAAATAATCGTATTTAATTGAGTGAACTATAGTAATTCGATTTGGCATTCAACGTGTTAAACACTTTTCAAGTTTACTCTATCGCTTAAGAGAAATAACATTCGTCTAAATCGACCGATATGACGTTGGAGTCTAACTCGTGTCACAAGAAAAGGCTCGATCGATTTTACGGGATACGAATCTGAGAACCGAGTAAATTATAATCGCCTGAGACTGGTTTCTTTCGAAAAGAAGAGCAACCCTCTAATGCGCGGGGTAACAATAAAATTCAGCAGTCTCGCAGATTATCACGAATGTTTCGTTCCTCCATGTCCAACAGCTAAGTTACTATTTCCAAATCTCAAATTTATGTCACATCTACGGTTACTTGAAACTTTTCTAACGAACTCGTTTTTCGTGCATTTGCTCGCCAAGATGTCGGACACCGAAGTTTCCTCGCAATTATATATCCTCGTGTCATAAATCCTGTGTCACGCACACTAACGGAGTCCTTGTCTCGCTATACGATTACATATAGCACCCTCCAGTAAAATACTTCATCATTCACGATAATCGATGTCCAGAGGGAAAAAAGAATAAAAAAATGTCACGAAATGCATGTTGTTTCATGCCTCATATGTACCATTATTATTCAATCAGGCTGTTGGTTGAAAGTTTTAAAAAGAATGTTATAGTTCGCCATTTGATTGAACGCAGGAAAATTATGAAACGAAAAATTCAATATAACATGTTGAATAAGGTATTAACACATGGAACACAGAAATAAAACAATTCTGCCGCAAGATTGACACAAGACGTTTCTTCGTGTAAGTTGCAAATAATACTGTTAACATTTCGTCAGAAAATAATGAATGTTTGTAATGCGAAATATTGTCGAGTGCAAAGGGTTAAAGATTACCCTCTTTACTAAAAAAGACAATGTTACTATTCATCCGATAAATGATCAAACACGTTCGAGCGATAGCGTGCATCGTTTACTTTGATATTCCATTAAACATGAATGTTCGGCAGATCTTAAACGATGTTCACTGTATCGTGAATTGCAGTTGGTCCTTAAAGTCTACGGAGTTTCTCCGATAATTCAGGAAAATATGGTGGCCGGAGTTGCGAAGTTCTGGTTGCCGACACGGAGTGACCTGCGCGCGAAATTCACCGAGGCGGTTGTTTACCGGTTAATCACTTTTAATCCATCTTTCAGCTGCCGCCGAAACAATAAAATTCCGGATGGAATACCTATGTACTTACATAGACGCGGCGCTCGAGCGGAAACTCGCATCGCGAGCGGAACTTCCGAAGTCAAACTCGAAACGTAAATGGCACGTAAATGGGGCATTAACCGAACGAGAATTGAATGTAAGTGAAATTTAGTCGGAAACGGAATAACCAGTTCAAGATGGAAACGCGGATGCAGCGAGATGCGTTTCCGAGACACGTTTCTCGTGTACCGGCTCCATTCAGCTACATTCACCGTCGAACACCATTCGCATTTTTTCGCGTCAAGTTCCGGTGTGATCGAAACAACTTTACAGCCGTTTGTAGATTTTCTCGAAAAAGTTCACCGTGTCAACAATTTTCGCTGGAGATTATTTATCGAAGCGCGCGACGATCGAATTACCGGCTATTTCGAGAATGTTAATGTATATTTCATCTTTTTCACAATGATACTCGCAACGTATCAGATGGAACTTCCGCATTTTTTAACGCTTAACCGTTTTTAACGGGTCTCCCCAAAACCCCGGTCGAAGAATACCAAATTGCGCGATCGTGGTTCTTTCGTTTCTCAGAAACTGCATGACGTTTTTCTAGTTTCACATATAAGATTCTAAATAATGCGATCGTTCTGTTTTTCCATTTCTAAGCAGGCAATAAAACAAATCAAAATATGTAGAAGAAATACGAATAAATAAACTTCATTTGATTCTACGAACCGATAGATTGCCATTTCTAAGCATTCCGAAGAACCGCGATCGTTCTGTTTCCCATTCAAACGCTTAAACTGTCACTACACCCACGACAAACAGAAATCTTTGATTAATACATTTTCTTTACCCTTCTGATTAACGTGAATTTTTAAACAACTCGTCTCCGACGAATTATACGTGTTCGCGAAGCTTGCTAAGAATGTTCACTAATGTCACGTTCTTCCTGCATACGATGAACTACACTGTTGCCCGTTGTTAACGACTCGAAACATAAATGTCCCTTTCGAATATTGCAACTTCGTGCCGTCTAAGTCAAAGGACCACCCAATGAATTGGGCCTAAAAAATCACTGATGACTTTGATCGGCTCCTTAGTGCCCCGAACTGTCTCTACCAGGGGTTTGTCTAATTCTGGCTTGTCTCCCAAATCCTACCTTGCTCAATCCTCCCTCTTAGTGTACGAAAAAGGTGGGGCTTCAGGTATGGTTTTCCCATGTTTACCTAACTACGACGGCCACTGCCGTATCAGTGAAAAATAGACAATAGCTGATTACTAAAATGAACCCTTATGAGCCGCATACTAGCTGCAGACCTGCTAAACTACCGAACGGAAAATTAACGGTTTATAAATGACTACGAATATTTCACCATATCGTAAAGTTGCCCCCTTGTTATCCTAACACTCGTTACACCCGTGTTTCCCAACGTAGGAAGCAATTTGATTTTTAAGGGGGGCAATTTGAAATTTGAAATATCACATCACATATTTAACAGTATTTAAGGACGTAAATAAAATAGCAAAAATATTATAATAAATATTGAAAATATATTATAATATAACATTAAAAATTATATATATGTTATATAGAGGAACATAAGAATTTCAGAAAGGCTTAGGTGGGTATGGTACGAAGAAGGTTGGGAAACACTGCATTATACCTTCACGATCTGCCGTTACACAACTCTCAACGAAAAAGAAAAATTCCATTTTTCAATGAACAAAGCGGAAGAAATTATTTTCGATAGCCCGAGTCGTCGATACTGTTCGAAGCTTGTAAATAATTAAAAAATCAGGACGTCGAAGATGGAAAATGGTGAATTATACTCATCCAGTTCGGAATGAATAATGTTAAATAGAAAATCTAACGAGATAAATCTCGTTTCGCGTCTCGGGGATGTTGCCCTGTAAAGAGTGAATAAATCGAGCCCGCGGAGGACGCGTCGCGGATTAAAATGCGATCTATTAAGCATCAATGTAGAACCTCGTCCGTTTTGATTCAGTGGAACGCGACACTTGTGTCCGCGGTTTGGAAAAAAGGGGTAAAAGGAGGAAAATAAATTTCGAGGCCGCTTTATAACGCAACCGTAGCACATTTCACTTTAATTAATTACTCTTACACCCTTCCCCCGGTCTCTCTCGGCCCACCTCGCTCATTCACTTTTCGTTTGGACATCTGTAAGCTGCTTACGGATATAAATGACAGAGGATTTGTCTGACTCTGTACCATCGTCGGTGCCGAGGAAAATAAATTGTTCAATACGTACTGGAGATTTTGATTTATCAAAAGCTTTAGTTTTTACTGCGCCGAAAAACGCGTGCACCCAGTGCACCGAGCCTTTTAGGAGAATGTCATTTTGCTTTTGT